GAATGTAAGGAGGGTATGGCGTATATGGTGAATATTCCATGGAGGTTTGAGGGTAAGGAATTCCTCCAGGAATTTGGCTGATTGAGTTCATATCACCCTCTTAAGAACAAGTACCTGAAAGGTTAGCACAGAAAAAATCCTACGAAGAAATAAAATAAAAAAACTAACTAAAAAAATCTCGCTCAAATTAATTAACCCTTAAAACCGACACCGTCCCCGGCAACAGCGCCAAAAACTGATGTGTGTTTTCTCGCACTTAAAATAGATCGTATTATAGTGGTGTAAGTACGAGTATTGTCTCCACAGGGACGGACAAATGGGAATCAAGAATTAATTAAATTCAGCGATTAAAAGAAATAAATAAAATAAATGCGTCGTGCGAGATATGATTGGTATGAAAAATTTAAATGCAACTAAACGATTAAAATAAATGGGTTCTCTCTAATTAATGACGAAGGGAACAGGGATTGATTCCGGGGGCAACCAGATTTCTGGCAGATCAGGCCTAATTACATGAAATTAATTCAATTGAGCCTAGCTAATCATTACTAAGTTCTTACCGCTCTCGCGGCGTAGAGTACAATAATTTAGGGGACCAGGCTGATCTCTCATGCGACATGATCCTAAATTATTGTCAAAACGAGTGAGCTTACGGACCCTTAATCGCTACTAATCTCTTAGCGAACGATTAAGTGTGTGTGAACGTGTCCTAGAATAAACTAGATCTCTCTTAATTTATTCTACAAGCAATTGTAATTCTAGCGCGCGTTCTAGGTTACAAAAGATATCAGTTAAATTATTCAAACACAAATTAAACGGCATTCATGCAATTAATCCATCAAGAAACTAGCCATACATCATGATCAACCCCTTCATCAATCACAATCCCTAATTAAACTATTCACAATTCATAATTGAAGAATCAATAGAATTGGGAAGAATAGAATTAATTGTCATTAATTAAAAAGATGGAACTTACAAAGAATACCAAAAGATTGATGAACAAGGCTGAAAAACCCTCTAAATTTCGTGCTAGGCACTCTCTCTAAGCTTCCCCTTGAAAACGGGGGTTTACAGGCTATTTAAATAGAAAAATCGGGTGAAATTTGAGCTGAATTAGGATTTTCGGAGACAGGCACGATGCCAGGCACGATCGTGCCTTCGATCGTGCCTTTGGAGCAAAAACGCGCATTTTGGGCAGGCACGATCGTGCCCGGCTGGCAGTAGCTCCGCGGTGCTTTTCTCTTCAGGCACGATCGTGCCTGACGTTGAGGGCACGATAGCGCCAACTTAACTTCCGAATTTGACAAAACTTCCTTCATGAAAGTTGTATATAATGAAGTCCTCTATCCACCCCAATTTGCTGAATGTGATTTGAATCATCCAATCAAGAGATATTATCAAAACGGTGGAAGGTATCATTCTGAAATCGCAGCAGAGATCATCTGACTTCATCGTCTATTTTCACCTTCTTCCTCTCAGATTCTCGCAAAGGTGTCTTCATATGATTTGTAACCCTTGAAGTTAGCTTTCATATGGAACTTGAATCGTGTACATTGGATGTTTCTACAAAGATATATGCTTGAACGATTGACACAAGGTCATCCTGATCGTCGTTTTCAAGCTTCATTCATCTTCTTTTGACCCCGTAGCCAATCCTAGAGCTCTTTTTCCTTCAAATCTTCATCGTGAATCTTCCGGTGAATTCCAAAGCTATCAAATCATTCTCATATGCTTCTCAAATCATCCCGATTGTTCCTCAAGTGCCGGTACCGGGCTCAAATTCCCTGATTTTGACTACAAACAACACAAAACTCGAACCAACGCCCGGTAAACATAACTTGAGCTAAAATTGAGACTTGTAACACCTTAAAGATAGGAAAATCATCAAAAGACGATCTCAACACACATCAAATGCGTGTCAAAATACGGACTTATCACAAAACTAGAAAGAATATTCGAGTTTCATTAAGGGAATTTATTGCTTACCGGATTCAAGACAGGACATGTGAATATGGGAATATAGTTAATTCAAGAAGACTGTTTCAACAATTTTTAGTTGATTCATACACCATGATTGAGGCACAAAGGTTGCCGTACATTAAACTCAACCAAAGCTCAATAAGGACAGAGGTTTTAAATGGGTTACAAGAGGCAATTAACAGGGGGGAAACAGACCCTGCATCAGTGGGAACAAGAATATTCTTGCCATCATCATTCACAGGAGGAAGAAGGTACATGTTCAACAACTGTCAGGATGCAATGGCAATATGCAAAAAATTCGGCTATCCAGATCTCTTCATCACCACGACATGTAATGCTAATTGGAGTGAGATTCAAAGTTTTGTAAAGGAGAGGAATCTAAGGGCAGAAGATAGACCGGACATAGCATGTAGAGTTTTTAAAATGAAATTGGATAACATGCTTAATGATTTCAAAAAGGATTCCATATTGGGTAAAGTTGATGTAGGTGAGTCATTACAATTTACGCAGTGCTTTGCTACTACTTTTTAAACTGAATATTACAGTTAACATTCCAATTCATGTGCTTAACGATGAATTTCTATGTTTGCAGGAATGTACACGATAAAATTCCAAAAAAGAGGTTTGCCGCATGCTCATATTTTGTTGTGGTTAAGTGAGGGAAACAAGATAAGGACTTCTGACCATATAGATTCGTACATCTCTGCGGAGTTTCCAGATCCTCTTCTATATCCTAAACTCCACAAATCAGTTGCTGCTTATATGATCCATGGACCATGCGGTCAAGTAAATTTAAAATCTCCATGTATGCAAGATGGTAAGTGTACTAAGTTTTTTCCAAAAAGGTTTCAAAACACAACTACAATTGATGAAGATGAATATCCGTCATACAAAAGAAGAAATGCAGGAATATTTGTGCAACAGAAAGATGTGGAGATTGATAACAGATATGTTGTTCCATACAATGCATATCTTCTTATTAGATATCAAGCTCATGTCAACGTGGAATATTGCAACAAGTCCAATGCAATCAAGTATTTATTCAAATATGTCAATAAAGGGCCTGACAGGGTCACTATTGAGATATGGAATAAGGGAAAACAAATAAGCAATCAAGGCATCGATGAGATACAACAATATTATGACTGCATGTATGTTTCTCCCTGTGAGGCTGTTTGGAGAACTTTAGGATATCAAATCCATCACAGATGGCCTCCAGTACAGAGATTAACATTCCATCTTCAAAATAATCAAAGTGTATTTTTTAAAGAGGATGCCCAGATTGATGAGATATTAAAGAAGAATGAAGACAGCGACACAATGTTCATTGCATGGATGCAAGCAAACAAAGAATATGTTGAAGCAAGGGAACTGTGTTATTCACAGTTTCCAAACAAATTTATCTATAATCAAGGCATTCGCAAATGGCAACCACGAAAGTTAGGTTCTGCAATTGGTAGGCTTAATTATGTACCCCTGGAACAGGAGAGCTATTTTATATGCGAATCTTACTAACTGTCCAGAAAGGTTGTACAAGTTTTGAAAGCCTTAGAACAGTTGATGGTATAACCTACTCTACCTTCCACCAAGCATGCTATGCTCTAGGATTGTTACATGATGACAAAGAATTCATAACAGCTATTACCGAGACAAGTGAATTAGGTTCTGGATTTTATCTTCGGAAGTTATTCACAGATTTATTGGTCATGAATACCATGATAAAAGTTGAAACGGTGTGGAATTCAGCTGCATCATTTTCTTAAATGCATTGTTTTTCAATATCCAAAGTTTGAAGCACATTTCTAATTTTTTTAATTTCTAATTAAATTGTACTACATGTGTTTACATATTATTTACATCACAATAAAAGTATACTTTACTTTTCGACTTTAAAATAGTAACTAAAAATGAATAAAAAAATAAATTCTGTGCATTTGGGTTCGTTTTGACATACTTATCACTATTGACGTTGAAAACAAAAACGTGATCGAAAATTGAGTACAAAAGACTGACATTATAACCACATATTTATTTTCAGAAAATGAAAGGCCAAGATTATTTTGGACAGAGGTGAACATTAAAAAATCCTTATTTTTGGATGAATCGCACTAATTATTTCAAATAAAATTGTGGCCCACACCAAAATGAGGCCCCCACGGGCCTAGGGAAACTCAACTCTCTTTTATTTGGAATTTTAATATTGACCAACTGCACAAACAACTGATCTCATTTACCATTATGCTTGATTTACTTGAAGATTTGCATTTGGAAGAAGACGAAATAAAAAATCTCACGTTGATTGAAATAGAGAAGTTGCTTCAATCTAATGGGAGATCTCTCAAGGAATTATTCAGCACTCCCATTTCCTCGCATGTGTCCAGAGACTCGATATACAAATAAATTTGTCTGTGATGAGTTAAATTACAGTAAGGGTGAGTTACGTGACACACATGAAACTCTTATTTCCAAGTTTACAGTGGAACAACAAGGCGTGTATGCACGCATTATGGAAGCTGTTTCAGCTAATAGTGCGGGGGTTTTCTTTTTGTATGGCTACGGAGGAACTGATAAAACATTCATATGGAATGCATTATCAACAGGTCTAAGATCCAAAGGAAAAATTGTACTAAATGTTGCCTCAAGTGGTATTGCATCTCTTATTTTACATGGAGGGAGAACTGCTCATTCACAGTTCTCTATTCCATTAGCAATCACTGAGTCATCAAACTGCAATATCAAGCAGGGGAGTGAAAAGGCAGAACTGCTACAGACTACACAATTGATTATTTGGGATGAAGCTCCTATGACAAGTAAGTACTGCTACAGACTACACAATTGATTATTTGGGATGAAGCTCCTATGACAAGTAAGTACTGCTTTGAGACTTTAGACAGAACATTACGTGATATTATGAGACCCAAAAATCCAAACAGCTTAGACCAACCATTCGGAGGAAAAGCTGTCGTTCTTGGAGGAGATTTTAGGAAAATATTACCAGTTGTTCCTAGAGGTACGAAGGAAGATATACTCAGTGCTGCTATCAATTCATCCTATTTGTGGCAATTTTGCAAGGTTTTAAAATTAACTGAAAACATGAGATTAAGAACTGAAACAAATGAAGAGAGTTTGAATGATACACAAGAGTTTGCCAAGTGGATACTACACTTGGGAGATGGTCCTGTAATAACAAACCAGTATGGAGAATCTGAGGTGGAAATTCCAGCAGATCTGTTGATTCATGATGTTGAGAACCCCATTCAAAGTCTGGTCACTTTTGCTTACCCAGACATGTTAAACAACTACATTAATCTCTCTTTTTTTGAAGACAGAGCAATACTAGCACCAACCTTAGAAGCTGTGGAAAAGATAAACAGCTACATTTTATCCCTCATACCATTAAAAGAAACAGAATATCTAAGTTCTGATTCTACATGCCAGGCAGATGAAAATTATGAGCTTGAAGGAGAGTGGTTCACAACTGAATTTTTGAATGATATCAAATGCTCTGGCCTACCCAATCATAAATTAGTTTTCAAAATTGGTGTCCCAATAATGCTTCTTAGAAACATCGATCAAAGAGGTGGCTTATGCAATGGTACTAGATTAACTATAAACCATTTGGGAAAACACATTATTGGGGCAACCATTTTGACTGGAAATAATAAAGGACACAAAATATTTATTCCAAGAATGAATCTAATACCGACAGATTCTGGTCTGCCTATGAAGTTCCAGAGAAGACAATTTCCTTTGGCATTATGCTTTGCTATGACCATAAATAAGAGCCAAGGCCAATCATTGTCGCATGTTGGGTTATTCCTTCCGAGACCGGTATTCACTCATGGCCAACTATACGTTGCGGTATCAAGGGTCCGATCGCGAAAAGGTTTAAAGATACTTATCTTAGATGAACATGAACAAACGTGCACCAAAACGACAAATGTCGTCTACCGTGAAGTTTTTAGCAATCTTTGAAATGTAACAAGGTAATAACATACCTCCGTATCAATTTTCCTATTACAATTGCACATTATTCCTTAGTGTCATTCCTTTAATCAACTTTAAATATATACTACGTACTTAACAATTAACTAATGCACCAAACAAATTCATATATGCCAATCTAACTGATTGTTATTTTACTTTATTAATACAACCACTTACATTCTAAAAATATCAACTATCCCAAAAAAAACTTTACATGTATTCAAATTCAAATTAAAGAAATTACTACAAAATACCCAATGCTTATTTACCAAACAGAAAAGCACATACCAAACAATACCCACAAAGCCGCCACCAAGCACATTGAATAGAGTCCCCTTCGATCCTTCCATCTAATAAGTGTGATACCAGCACACTTTAGGAAACAAATGAACACCACAACAAACGAAAAACCCAATTACATATGTCAGTTACATGCCAAACTCATAATTTACTAAGAAAACAAAAAAATTATATGTAAGGACATGGTCAAAGCCAATTATATACAAAATACTATCGTATGACATAGCGAGTATTAATACTTACAATTCCATTAACTCTTCAGGCTTCATCTTCACCTACGCTATGCCAGATATAAAACAAGGACTTTTTCAAATTGGGATTATTCACACACGTAAGGTATCACATTGAATGAGATTTGATTTTCCCAATCCTATAAACTCACTTTATCCCTTACTGTGGATTTCAAACCAGATGCGGATTAGAAATTTCAACTCACCGTCTTTTCCTTCGCAGGGTATTGCACATGAGAAGCCTCAAGGAAAAATTAATCGGCCAAGTGTGTGCAAGTACCGCCAAATTACATAGTTTGCCATTTCAGAAGTTATTTAATGTTACTTTATCCTGTTCTAATTTCCCTTCCTACGTGTGTTGTTCTAAACAACCTACTCCTTATATAGTGGTATATACTTCGTATAAGTATATGGTCCGTATATATATATACCTAATATACTACTACGTAATTGTTTTAAATTGTAAATAGTCCAAGACCATATCAGACCAGATCAGACTTTGATAGTTATAAAAATACAAAAAAAAAACATAGAAGATTCCCTATTTTTTTAAAAATCAAATAAATTCACTTTTGTTCATACTTTCATCACATATGAAATACAGCTAAACAAATTTCGTTTGTCATTCTTATTTTTAAAATTTTGTATTTATATTTTTCCATTCTCAAACTTTTACGCGTTTTTTCCCGTGCAACGCACGGGTACACACTAGTTAAACTAAATTTCAAACAACATGCATCATAATCTAAAACTAATTAAGGGTATAATAGTAATTGGCAATTTTATATTTAATCGGAAATTAATACACGATTGATTGTCTAGATCCGAAGTACACGCTGCACTACCATTTGAAACTTTAATTATCTTTCGTCTTCAGCATGTGAATTAAGAACCGTGTTCAAATAAAAGTGAGTCATCGTATTTACGTTTTTCAGGAATGAAAAAGTGCATGCACTATATGTTTCTAAAAGAAATTACTCCGTGTGGAAAATGCGGTAATCTTAGGAGAAAAGAATAGATCACAGTATGTTTATGGGAAATGTGTTTTTATAGTATTGAACTGTGCATATATGTTTTGGGTTTTTCGTGGAAAAGGTGAAAAACTATTTGGAGAATGTGCAGCACTAAGGTGTGAAATCGTTCAAGATTTAAAGTGCATGGTCATTGAAAAGTGAATGCAACAATAAATATGAAAAGTGAGATAGTGAAGTATTGAAAGTGCCTAAAATGTTAAAGTACTTCATAACAAGTGCAACTTATTATGAATGCAAAAATATATAGTAGAAATGGGTTTAATACGTATTGAAGAGTGCATAAGATGATAAAAAAAAGTTGAAAATAAGTGCAATCGAGACTAAAAAGAATTGGGGTTAAAAAACCAATGCGCCAGTGTACCACTACATACTAAAAGTGATATAATAAAGTACTTAAAGTGCATACGATATTTAAGAAAAAAGATAAAAAAAATTAAGAAGATCAATAATAGGTGCACTTGAGATAGTAAAACATCAAAACAAAAAGTATTGAAAGTGCTTAAGATGTAAAAAAAAAAGTTTACAAGAAGTGCAACTGAGGTGTACAAAGATGTATTGGAGGGACAAAAAGTGAATGCAAAAATATAGCATCAAAGTGACATAGTGAAGTGCTGAAATTGTATAATTAAGATGTTAATAAACAAGTTCATTAGTGTATAAGTGCAATTCTCAAATATAATTATATAAAAAAGCATTTTAGTGACAAAAAGGTGAATGCAACACTATGAGCAAATAGGTAAAATAAGTGGGCCGTAATATTAAAATACTGATTATAATTATTTGCATGTAAAATATATCACCCAACCATGATGAATGAGCTGGTCCAATTAGTGTTGAAGAGAAAAGGTGCAAGAGGAAACCGAGAATCATGGAAAATACACAATCGTGGATTGAAAGTCTATCCAGAAAACTGCTGCCAACCGGCGGTTACAAATTTTAATAGCGGCTGAAAATATAGATTTACGAAAAAAGGCCTCACGTATATGCTTAGGGAGTGTTTGCAACAGCTTCTGCTTTAAAAAAAGCACTTTTGGAGTGATTTGGAAAAAGTGATTATTTGTAAAAGTTGATAGTGTTTGAGAAAAAAGTGATTTTGAAAAGTAAAAGTTGGTAGTGTTTGGTAAAAAAAGTGCTTTTGGTGTATAAAAAGTGGAAAAGCACTTTTGACACGAAAGCCGAGAAAAATAAAAAATTGGTAGTGTTTGGTAAATAAGTGCTTTTTTAAACCAAAAGCTGAGAAGTGCTTTTTTAAAAGTGGTTGCAAACCAGCCTTTAGGATCGGGATGGCGACAATAAAATAGAGGGTTCAGATGTTTTCTCATTTTTCATCGGAATAAGCCTTTTTATTTGATCTCTATTCTATATATATATATAGAATATATATGACAAACTTTAGGGTCAAATATGCATGCCTTTCATTACGTAGTAGGAGTAGTATTTATACAGTAGTTTACATGGGCTTCACTAATAGCAGCCCTACGGTCCAAGACTATTTACAAACATATGGGCTAAATAAATATTATGCTCAATACCCCCCTCAAGTTGGAGCATGCGGATTACAAATGCCCAACTTGTGAAGTAAATAATGAAACTGTTGAACTCCTAAAGTTTTTGTGTAAATATCTGCAAGCTGGTCCGAAGTGGAGACATGAACGGTACGGATAGTCCCTTCTTGAACCGCATCACGAATGTAATGGCAATCTACCTCAATATGTTTCGTACGTTCATGAAACACCGGATTTTGAGCTTGCAGATATTTACACAAAAGCTTTAGGAGTTCAACAGTTTCATTATTTACTTCACAAGTTGGGCATTTGTAATCCGCATGCTCCAACTTGAGGGGGGGTATTGAGCATAATATTTATTTAGCCCATATGTTTGTAAATAGTCTTGGACCGTAGGGCTGCTATTAGTGAAGCCCATGTAAACTACTGTATAAATACTACTCCTACTACGTAATGAAAGGCATGCATATTTGACCCTAAAGTTTGTCATGGTATCAGAGCACGCCGCTCGTAATACCTTTGTGCGTGAACTTGGCTATTATTCTTGGTCGCAGAACACTGCCGAACGAAGACGGGAACTGCATCAGCGTTGAAGTTGTTCCGTCATCATGTCCGGCGACGAGAAGATAGATGTGACCTCTCCGTATTACTTGGGTGCCGGAGATCAGCCCGGTAATCTTATAACCTATGTAATTCTTACCGGCGATAACTACGTAGCTTGGTCTAGAGCGATAACACTTTCGTTAAAAGCCAGAAGAAAGTTTGTATTCGTGGATGGCACGATTAAGAAGCCGACGGTACCGCGACAAATGCTTACTTGGGAGACGGTTAATTCTATGATTGTATCATGGATTCTTCGTAGTATTGACGGCAAAATTGCGGGAACTATTCCGTTTCATGTGGAGTCCAAACCGCTATGGGATTACCTTGAGAAAAGGTACTGTGTCGCGAATGGTCCTAGGCTCCAACAATTGCGCGCGGACATCGTCGGGTGCCGGCAGACCAAAGGGATGAGCGTTGATGATTATTTCAATCGGCTCATGTCTCTCTTTGATGAACTGGGACGCTTAAAGCCGCTGCACGCTTGTAATTGTGGGGCATGTACTTGTGAAGTGGCGGAAAAATTCGCCGCCGATCGGGAAGAAGAAAAACTTCATCAGTTTTTGGTCGGGATAGACGACGAATATTACTCTGTGACTCGCTCTAACCTGCTCTCTCAAACAGTTCCTGTCACACTGGACAGAGCATACCACGCAATGCTTCAAGAAGAGAAATCAAGGGACATAGCACGTGGCAAAACTGTACAAGAAGACCCACATGCCTTTGCATTGCGGGCAGATTTTCCCAGGGGTGAACGAGTGGACAAAACCAAGCTAGTGTGCAGCCATTGTAAGCAGAAAGGCC